ATGCCAATGGTGGCATGCCAAATTTGTTTTTGGCATGCCACTGGGTACAGTATAAAAAACTATATTTATAGTATCTATACTATATATTAGACTTATAGTATTATGATTATTAATACAATATTTTATGGCATGCCATGGGCACAAAGTTTGACAAAAAGCATGCCTGTGGCGGGCCAAATTTTTTTTTGCGTGCCAGACACCCTATATGGGACACGGACACGGACAGCGGAAATTTTTTTGTCCCGGATATTTCCGTCGATCAGCACGTGATTATCAGCCAATAAAATTCTTTAGTATCCTCTGTAAATTATCATCATTTTTTACACATAATCCAAACCAAGGACCTGGTTTTACCCGGCGGACATGCCCCGGACATAGTAGGGACAAAGTTAAAAATTAGTGGGACATTGTCCGTGTCCTTGTAAAATTGGCGGGACAATCTCGATGTACAACACTGCCCTAACCCTAAAAATCCTAAGAAATTACCCACTTAAATTCCGTTCCTACTTCCAGCAATAACACATGAATATCACAACGTTAGAATTAAGGTTAGATTATGACGTATTATATATTGTAAATGGTAATTTCTTAGTTAAAGTTTTGTGTTACCAACAGTGAAATCTCATACGGTGAAATCTCACATCCTGGATAAGAAATTTTGTTTGGAAAGAGTGTACTCGCGTACGTACGTACGTATGTACGCATGCATGCTTCTAGACAGCGGGTTTCTCACGATTTATACATCTCTAATCGCGGTTATTTTAAAAACTTTAAAACTATACGACTAACATGCAGATTTTCGAATTATACAGATCTGAAATTGTCAAAACTTTGCATTCTATAGATCTGTAGTATTGGAAAATATATAATTAATCAGGCAGTTTGAGATATATTTTTTTCTTTAGAACTTTATATATATATATTAAAAAACATTTTTTTTTGTACGAATATCTATATTGTGTATCCTGATACCGCATGATACAGCAAATGTTCTACAAAACTTGTCGGCTGAATTTTTTTTTTTCATGCAAATTACTAGTTTTATTTGACGTCTACGTCAAGCTATGCCCCAAAAGGAAATGTCCAAATTAATTTCAGAATTTGGTTACATAAAGCTTTTAAAGTGTCGTGTGGCATTAACGAGCGCGGTAATTTATCGTAAAATAAAAAACATCGATCACTGCATATCCGCACGCTAGGATCGGAAATTTTCCTGCAAGTTCTCGCAAAGATAATAATACATTAAAATTTTATTGTAAAATTGACTTAAGTATTTCGAATAGTTTCAATACGAAACGATTCTAAATGACCGAACTTTTCAAGTCCTTTTAGCACGTTAAAATGTAAATATATCGATTTTTAACAGTCTCACAAGACATTTCAAACCTCATTTAGAGTATCTCGCCAAATTCCGGGCTAGAAATTACAATCACAGATTATACTAATGAACCTATAACTTTCTATGAAAGATGATTGTATGATAATTCTACAATAGATAAATATTTGATTTGCGTTTATTAATACAATTCAAACGGCAAGCAAGTAACCCTCCCGAATTTGGGATTTTCTTGCTTAATTTATGAATTAAAGAGAGTGTCTAAAGTCGGATAGTACACGATCTATTTATTTTTGTATTATCAAGTTTTGGATGGCGTTGTGACTGAATTTGCAACTGATCAACAATTGAATTTCTTAATTAATCGTTTCCTCACGTACGTACTTTCAATTTTTTATAGCTTTACTTGTTTATCTTTAAAATAATAGATTAGCAGTAATGTTTATTTAAAATTATTGGGAATGCTTACGATACTCTTAGCCGACCATCAAAATTTTCCAAAAATAGAAATTTCCAAATGACATAGATCGCGATAAAATTTTAGCGCTTACAATTTAGATTTGTTGCCTTTAAAAATGAATATGAATGTGTAAAACAAACATTCTTGAAAAGTAATTACCAAAGTTAGCATTATTGAATTGGAATAGACGTTAGCATTATTGAATTGGGGATAGACCCTACGAACGAATCATCCAGGGTTGCCCCAAAGTTCGGGTCGATTACTGCCGCAGCACCTCGGTATATTTTTTTTTCGTTAAAAATATGTTAAAATATTAACATTGACCAGATTTTACCACAGTAGGGTATTATGATACCCTACTGTAAAGTTTGGGCAATGTTAATATTTAGTATATTTTGATTGAAAAAAAAAAATTACCGAGATGCTGCGGTAGTAATCGACTCGAACTTTGTGGGGCGACCCTGGCTGATTCCCTACGAACCAAGTACTTAAAGGTCTTTTAGACCCTATCATACTTTAAAAAATTTTAACAAGTCTTTCATAGTGTATCATACTTAAAAAATTCTTTATATTATATCGCACTTAAAAATTTAAACCGCCCATTTAATTATGGAGAAAGAAGGACTTAATAAATGTCGGGGATTCCGATGATGATGAAATTTGGGGTTTTAATTTGAAAATATAAACCCTACTAAAATCCACCTATACTCTTTTATTATAAATACTAACACTAAATTCTAACTGAACTATAAAAAAAAAGCTGAACAAAAACATCCCAAAAAAAAAAATTTTAATTTTCATAATAAAATAAGTCAAAATGTCATCATCCGATTTCAGCATCATCCTCGACAATAAATATGAAATAAAATACTTATCTAAAAACCAGTATAACAAAACTGATAATATACCTCGAATTAAACGAAGGCTTAAACCAACACCCCATCAAATGACACTTAATTTTCATAAAAAGGGTAAGAGAAAACATTCGCGCTCTAATCGTGAACAAAAAGAACAAGATTCAATGGACCTACCTCCCCAACCTTTGAATGAAGTAATTGATCCGCCCCCTCAACCTTCGAATGAAGTAATTGATCCGCCCCCTCAACCTTCGAATGAAGAGTATGGAGATGTAATGGATTCGCAAAACTCTCCATTTGGAGAAAGCAACGAACACCCTGCTCCACCCCAAAATAACGGTGTGTAAAGATTTCTGAATTTTTATTATCTGTTCTTATTATTATCATTATTATTTGAATTATACTTACATTTATGACACGTACGTACATGAATGCCACATACAGACTTAGCACCAAACACTTATTGTTGTTATGAGTATTTTGGTACGTATTCATTATTCATTTATTAATCATAGATTTTTATTCTCACATATATATTTATTAACGTCACCATATTCATAATAATTATTTACGATATTGCAATAATAGGGTTATGAAGACTTAACATGTTTACATTGATAACCCGCACCTCTTGTATATATGTGTTAAATTCCGGCCACATAAAATTGATAGTGTCCTCTAAATTTTATTTCATTAATAACGAGAATGTATTTTTTGGTAGAGCTGTATTATGAACTAGAACTAGATCAATAATATTGTGTAAAATTGTGTAAAATTAATGTCGGTATTAGTGTATTATTAATTTTACTGTAAAAATACTAAAAAAAAAAATAAGTGGCAACTCAAAAATAGTTTAGTGCATAAATGTAATCATTTTATACATAAATATATTATTTTTGTGTTTATTATTATTCTATGTATATTTTTTTTATAAATTTCAGAGCAAAGAAAAGGCAAGAAAAATCTGTTGCTTTATATATTTTTTTGTTCGTTTTAATAATACGGAAAATTCATCTCCGGATTCTCTTGGAAATTCCTTTAAGTTTTTACTTCTTTGGTTAAAAAAAAAAAGGAGGTAAAATGATTTTATAAATTTGTACGTATGTAAATTATGACTGAGAAACAAAAGGTTATGGATTTAAGGTTACATTAGATTGTGAATTACGTATAGGAAAATTATTGACGTTGACAAATTTGATAATTGATAGACAAATTTCCCGAATGCTTTATCAAAATTCTTAAAACATCCCAACTCATTTTGTTAGTTTATAAATTTTTTTCGTTTGTATTTTTTGTTCAAGTTACATGAATTTTTGGTGCTCTATATTTGTCACGTGATGTTCCAAACTTTTTTGGGTGTCGATTTTACCCCGGTCGTACGATTCACCGGGCCAGAATTAGAGTTAAGGTTAGTGTAATTTATAAAACAAACTTGTCGGTGAATCGTACTATCAGTGTTGGTGAATTTTGATTTTCGATGAAATGAACAGGATCCGTCAAATTAAGATTTGATTAGGGTTGGCAAGTTACCGTAATTTACGTAAATTTGTGAAAGTTTCAGAAATCAAAATTACATGTAATTTTGATCATGTGAATAATTTTTGCCAAAACTTTTATAAATCTTGCATCAAAATAACAGTTCCGAACATAATGATGGATAAGTGTACATTATTGGACAGACGACAAAAAATTGCCTGTTATTTTTTGTACGTATGTTCAATAATGATGTTATCCGATAGTTAATATGACCATGTGAAGTTTTTTCTGTGATATTTTGCAAAACTGATTACGTAATTTCATGCAAAAAAAATATCATGGCAAAAAAATTCACATGATTATACGAAATGTCGGATAATTATTAATCTTGGCAAAACTTTTGTAACGCTGGTGCAATTATCATGTGACAATACACTATTCAATGTAAAGTTACATTATAATTTCATGCAACGTAAAAATGTAATTAATGTAATACCAACCCTAGATTTGATATTGAATGTAGGTATAATCCAGAAATATTCGGGTTTAAGATTAAATTGTCGATATCGATCGATCGATCGATATATATTAATTTTAGCTTTATTAAATGAAACGGGCTAACGCTAATGGCGTGATTTATGTATGCTTATATAATGATAAAGTTATATACGGTTTAATGCGAAGCACACGTTATTATTAATTAAAGTATTATTTTAATTTATTGTACTTATTACTTAATAATAAATGAACCATTTAAAATTTATGGCATTATTTTGTCTATTTTGGCAATACTATTAGATAAATTAGAATTCTTCATATGTGTGCACTCATCATGACCAGATTAATGTTTTCTTTAGATATCTTATGCTTTCACCATTCACTTCGTATTAGTATATATTGAACCACAGAATTTGATAAAGAAGCAACTAGATGAATATGTTTATAGCGAAGTACCTTTTGAAATAATATGCTTCTTTTAATTGGATAAATTCAGATGAGACGCATCGAATTTTCTGGCTTTTTTAAAAATCAATTTAAAGTCTTTAATGTTGATATTCAATTTTGATTTACATTGTTTGTAAAATAGAATCTAAAATTAACAAAATTTTATTTTTATTTATTTAATGTTAGACAAGATATAAATATACGTGTATAAAACAAAAATAAATAAAAAATACAAATTTTAATCGTATAAATCATATGCACTTACTTTATAAAAACAAAATTTTATTTGTATCTATTGAATGTTAGTCAAAAAGATATAAATCGAAAGTAAATAAAAATACAAATTTTGATCTTATAAATCATATGCACTTACTTTATAAAAGTCCCAGCGTTATCACCAATCGAGGACGCAGTCACATGATATTCTGACATTACAATTTCCGGAAAATTTGAATTCAAAATTTTTTCAACTTCATTTTTCGTATTTTATTAATTTTTTATTTTGTTATTGTTGAATATTAAGTTTTTTGGGAAGAAAAGCTTTCTTAATTGTTTTTTAAGAGATGAAACCACTACAATTAGATTAGAGTAAATACAGAAATAGTTAATAATATTCTAAATAAAAACTTGATTACTAAATAATATCGAATATATAAAATCTATACTTGCCAAACTCATTATGTACGAAGAAGCTCGTTATAGTAAGCTTCTGCTGTGATTTAATTGATAAACGAATCTGCATTGATGAACCAAATTAACGCAAATAAATAATTCAAACGAAGCTACAAAAGATTGTAGGGTTCTAAAATATAATCAAGTTAAATAACGGAAAGAACTAGTATGCCCTAATACAACTCACCCTTGCTATAGTGAGGTTCTTATAACAAAAATACCTTATAGAAGTAATTTACTATATTCCTATACCGAACACTGATAAATATTTGTAGAATAAGTGATGTGAAAATCCCCTTAGAAAGAAATTATCTTTAAACCATATTACTACATTTACCTCTCTTCCCCGAAAGACATAAAAGGGTGGTAAAAAGACAGGATCTTCAGGTTTTATAGTATTGCTTAAAATAAAGTTTTACGTTCCTAAATATAACTGTTACTATTGAGCTGGCCATAATTAAAGCTGTAAGGGATCCATTGTACTGATATTCAAATGTTAGAGACTCTATATTAGAATTGTTGTTAATTGAATAGCATACTCTTAAGCTGTTCCTAATCCGAGTGGTGTAGGTTTAAAAATATGTTTAAATTTGGAGCAACCCAGAGCAGATCTGGAACAATTTAATAGAATGAGTTGAAGATTAGATCAACCCAACAAATCATAGATCAAATTAATAAAAACAGACTTTTATTCAAATTACTTATTTTGCAGAATCATCATAGTTACGCCTCTGTCAAAATGCCTAAAATTATATAAATATTAAAGTATTAGTGTTGAATATAACAATAATTTTATTTTGTAGCAAGCTCATCCCGTGTCAATGCTAAAATTAATAAACATATATTGCCATCTACCTTCACAATTTACGAATAATTTACAGAATTAAAAACTCAAATTTATAAGAATTCAAAGTATAAGCATGAGTTGGGATGTTTTAAGAATTTTGATAAAGCATTCGGGAAATTTGTCTATCAATTATCAAATTTGTCAACGTCA